TTTTATAGAGTTAGAAAAAATAATAACAAGATTCATTTGGAAAAACAAAAGGTCCAGAATATCAAAGGAACTAATGAAAAGAAATGCAGGGGAAGGTGGCCTAGCAATTCCAGATCTTAAATTGTATTATAAAGCAGCAATCATCAAAACTGCTTGGTACTGGCTAAGAAATAGGGAGGTGGATCAGTGGAATAGGTTAAATATGCAAGACACAGTAGTCAATGACTATAGTATTTGATAAACCCAAAGACCCCAGCTTCTGGGATAAGAAACCACTCTTTGAAAAAAACTTCTGGGAAAACTGGAAAAGAGTATGGCAGAAACTAGGCATAGACCCAAATCTCACACCATATACCAAAATAAAGTCAAAATGGGTTCATGACTTAGATATAAAGGCTGATACCATAAGTAAACTGGGAGAACAAGGAATAGTTTACCTATCAGATCTATGGAGAACAGAAGAATTCATGACCAAACAGGAGATAGAGAACATTATGAAAAGCAAAATGGATAATTTTGATTACATTAAATTGAAAAGTTTTTGCACAAACACAGCCAATGCAACTAAGATTAGAAGGAAGGTAGAAAATTGGGAAAGAATTTTTACAACCAGTCTCTCTGATAAAGGCCTCATTTCTAAAATATATAGAGAATTAAGACAAATTTAAAGAACACAAGCCATTCCCCAATTGATAAATGGTCAAAGGATATGAACAGACAGTTCTCAGATGAAGAAATTAAAGCCATCTATAGTCATATGAAAAAATGCTCTAAATCATTATTGATTAGAGAAATGCAAATCAAAACAACTCTGAGGTACCACATCACACCTATCAGATTGGCCAACATGACAAAACAGGAAAATGATAAATGTTGGAGAAGATGTGGGAAAATTGGAACACTAATACATTGTTGGTGGAGTTGTGAAATGATCCAACCATTTTGGAGAACAATTTGGAACTATGCCCAAAGGGCTACAAAAATGTGCATACCCTTTGATCCAGCAATAGCACTTCTAGGGCTATATCCCAAAGAGATCAAACAAATGGGAAAAGGACCCACATGTACAAAAATATTCATAGCAGCTTTTTTGTGGTGGCAAAGAATTGGAATTGAGAGGATGCCCATCAATTGGGGAATGGCTGAGTAAGTTGTGTTATATGAATGTAATAGAATAGTATTGTGCTATAAGAAATGATGAACAGGTTGACTTCAGAAAAACCTGGAAAGGCTTATAAGGTCTGATGCTGAGTGAAGTGAGCAGAACACAATAACAGCACGTTATGCAAATGACTAAATTGTTAAACTGAACCTTTCTCAGCATTACGAGGATCTAAGACATCTCCAGAAGCCTCGGGATGGAAAATGCTGTCCACATCCAAAGAAAGAACTATGCAAGTCGAATCACTATCACGTATTTTTACCTTCTGTTGAGTTCAGTTTCATCTTTCTGATGGTTCCTCCTACTGGTTTTAATTTTGACTTACAACTTCACTAATGTGAAAATATGTTTAATGGTATGTAAATGTAAAGCCTATATCAGATTGTGCCATCTTGGGGAGGGTGGGGGCGAGGAAGGGGGAGAAAAATTTTCAACTCAAATGCATATGGAAGTGATTGCTGATATGTCAAAATAAATTAATAAAATTTTTACAAAATAAAAAAATAAAAAGAAATTAGGATTTTCTGAGATGCAATGTGATTTGATTGAGCCAATTACTCAATGAAAGTTAGAATTTAATCCATACAATTATAAGTGATATAAAATAAATAAAAGCATTTTAGAATTAGAAAGAACTCCAAATTAGTCACTCATAACTAAGGAAACTGAGGCCCAGAAAGATTCCTCAAAATCATATAGCTAGTCATTGGCAGAGTTGAAATTAGAACCCTTGTTTCCTGACTGTTAGTGTCCAACTATATTCTATTACACCACGCTACCTTGAAATAACAGTAATTAATTGCATAAAAGCATTATTATGAAAGGAAGATAACAGGGATACTGCACCTTTTTCATGAAGCTTGGTTGTAGTGTTTTAAAAAGGTTTTTGGTGCTCTATCATGTTTGACTCTTTGTAACCCCATTTGGTGTTTTCTTGGCAAAGATACTGGAGTAGTTTGCTATTTTCTTCTCCAGCTCATTTTACAGATGAGTAAACTGAGCCAAACAGGGTTAAGGGACTTGCCTAGCATCACACAGCTAGTAAATATCTGAGGGCAGATTTGAACTCAGGAAGATGAGTCTTCCTGACTCCAGCTTGGCACTCTAACCCCTGTACAATCTAGTTGCCCCTTTAAAATGCTAGATGTATATAATAGTTTCGTTTTTCCTGATGCCAATATAAGCTAGATTAGGTAAACTGTTCACAGGGAATATGTGATATCACATTTCTCTAACACTTAAATGTTTTATGCATCACTAGGAGTCATTCTGTAAAAATATTATTGTCCACATTTCATAGATGAGGAAACTAAAGCTCACACACACATATACAAAAAGACTTGTAATAGGCAAGCAAGTATACGTGTGGAATTTGAACCCAAGACCCCTTACTCTACTTTGGTCTTTTTCCTACTTTGACAAAGGTTCTTTGCCAAGTAGGCATCCACGAACTTGATGGGGGACAAAAAATACATCTCCCCCCCGACTATTCTTTAAATGAAATATAGCATTTTTTTCAATTAAATAAAAACTATTCTGAGAAGGGGCCCACAGCCTCATCAAATTGCCTAAGGGGTCCATTGGACAAAACAGAGTTAAAATCCTCTATGTAATATTTCATGTTAGTTTTTGATGAGTGTGGAATTAAGAACAAGAAAGCTAAGTATAAACCAGTCAAAGATGGGGAGTAATTTTGAAGGCTAGGGTTTCAATAGGGACCTAGGCTAGCAAATCTAGTATATAGGCAAATTAGAATCTAGTGAACTGTGGACCATAAGAACCAATCATATCAAGATTCCTAAAGAACTCCAAATGACACAGAAACTGCTGTCCTGACCCATCTAGAATAGCTTACAGAGGAAAGCCAAACTCTACTGCTGCTGGTGTCTGATTATTTCAAAGTCTGACTCATTCCACTCTAAATGCAATTTCCAATGAAGTTGAGGCAACAATGTGATCATGGGTTCGTTCAAGGCCCTAAATTTCAGAATTGGTTAGGATGGGTGTTACAAGCATAGAAATATCTCGCATTCTCTGTCCATATACCCTAGGGGCTCAGTGTTCTCTTGAAGGTCAAGAGCTGGGAAAAACAGCCACATGTTGTTAGTAGAAATTCCCTAGGTGGAGTATATGAACTCGAACTGAAATAGCAAAACTCAAAAACACTTAATGCTTTTCATTGTGTTGTTCTTATATCAGATTTTTAAAAATATTTGTGCATGCTTTGCAGGAGGGTCAGGGGGATGATATAAAAAGGTTTATAATCCTGTGGAAAGTTTCATATTGTCTTAACCAGATGACGGTTTCTTTATGCAGCAACAATGTGATAAAAGCTATTGTTTTGTCAATGGAACATAATTACAATTTTTATAGCTGCTTTTTAAGTCTTCCACTAATTCTGTCTGTAAGCTTGGCATTTGTTATCCACTATAAAACATTTCCCAGACTTTCAATTTGAGTTCTCTGGACTCCTGCCCACTTTGCTCCAAAGACAGAATATGTGATTATTGATGGAGCAAGTTTCACTTATACATAAAAGCCTCAAAAAAATCTAAATACAAGCAGTGGTAGTGGGGAACAAAGGGTATGTTGTAGGTAGTGTAGGTGATGCTAAAAAAACCCCACATATATTGCTTTTAAATACAATCTACCTTTGACAGTTTCAAGGTCTCCCTGGGAGGATTTGGCCTATTAAGGAAATGTTTCTCTTTCTTAAGCCTAGCTTAAAACCTTGTTTACACTAATAATTTAACAAAAGCTTTCATCAGTTTTAACTCAGGGGAAGATTGGCTACCAAGTGATATTTTTTTTCTGAGACAATCAGGGTGGTACCTGAGGTACACTAGTAAAAATTTTACAACCAACTCTGGGATTACATAACAGAATGCACGTTTGACACATTTTTAGTTTAGTCTGCTGTATCAACATTTCCCCACTGCTTTCTTTAGTCTGGACAATCACCGTACCCTGATTTGAAGTGTTTGATGATTTCTGAGTTATAAATGCTCCCACTGAATATTTTGGTAGTTGATTCTCCTGAGCTGGTTCCAACATACCCGTGAGTGAGACACAGAAACTGAGAGTCTACTACACCTGAGCTAGGATAAGACTTATATTAGTGGACAGAATATATAAATTATCCTATCCTATCCTATCCTATCCTATCCTATCCTATCCTATCCTATCCTATCCTATCCTATCCTATCCTATCCTATCCTATCCTATCCTATCTTATCTTATCTTATCTTATCTTATCTTATCTTATCTTATCTTGTCTTGAAGTACTGAACTCCATTTTGTTTTCAGACCTCCATTTTGTTTTCCCTTCTTCACGAAGTAAGAGTACTGCCTGTAGGTTGTCCACCAGAATAAGCCCGGGCTCGCCACATGGGCCCGCCAAGATGAAAGTCAATCCACGCCCTGTTCCAGTCCATATGCGGTCCTAAACCAAGGATTAACCAATGGCTGATTCTGGCTTCTGTAATTTCCTGCTTACGCAACCCCTGACCGTTTACTCTGTGGCTTCTGCCTTTATAAACCTAAACTCTATCTCTGATTGGGCCTGCTCAATTTGGGTGTGTACCCCTTGCAGCCGAGCGCTAATAAATCCACATGTCAAATTACGTCTAGGTCTTGCTCGCTGATTTCTCTGTACAACATTTGGAGGCCCCAGCGACATTACAATGCACTGTGTCGCTGCGGAGACCCACCTGGGGAGAACTTCGGCCTCGGGAAAGGGGATTGCTCTGTTCTGACTGTTAGGGGAGCTGGCCCCTGAAGACGTTCCAGGGTCCCGAAATTCAGAACTGAAAAATACCTTCCCTCCTCGACCCTGTACCTCATTTCGGCCCTGTGGATCCTGGACCTGGTAAAACTCCTGAGGTAAGCGTCTGCAGACTTCTGTTTCCTGGTACAGAATAAGTGATGGACGTGGCAGTAGCGCTTAGCGCCTGGAGCTCCCGGGCACCCCGAGACGTCGGGACCAAGCCCGTATCTGGTTATTGGTTTCTGGTTTCTGTCTTAGTTCTGTTGGTCTATTAGTTTATATGTATAGAGATTGTGTTTCTAAGAGGTTCTGTTTCGGGATCATGTGTCTGAAGCCGCCCCTCCTTCATACTGAAAGGCAGCTGTCAGGCTGGGTCACAGACAGTTTTCTCCAGGGCAGTTTCTCCGACTTCCATTGGGAAGAGGTGTTTGTGTTTGGGCTTTTATTATTTGTCTATGTCTATATTCCGCGATAATGGGGGGGTTCGGCTAGCAAATCCAAAAACCCCTTTGGGTTGTATGTTGAGTCATTTTCAGGAAGTATATCAGGAAGGGGTGGATTACGGTGGCCGACCTTCAGGGTAGGACGGCCACCACAAGGTAGTTTAGACAAAACAAGTGGTGACTGATGTTTGAAAAGTTGGTACTGGAAGCCCGGGACACCATAGTCAGTTTGTATATATTGATATCTGGCTGACTGCTCCTTAGAGAGTGCTAGTTGCTCAGCCACAGAGGAATTCTTCCTCTAGTGACCCTCCTAAGGTTCTTCAGGAATAACAGGAAGAAAACTTTCCCCTCCCTACAACCCCAGCCCTCCTAGGAATGGCCCCAATCTCCTCCAAGATTGTATCCTCCTTTGTCTCTATCTGCCCCACCACCTGACTCTTCTGCCCTCCCTATATCACCCTGTCAATTTTCTGGTAAATATTGGGGCTGCCCATTCTGTCCTAACCCATCCATTAGGCCCCTGGTCCTAAAAAACAACTCTGCCAGTTCAGGGAGCCAGTAGGAGTATATTGTCCTGCCCTGTCTAATGTTGAAGTCCACCTGATTACAAACTTTTGCAAGAAAATGTGGACACGAAATGGGGAACTGAAATATTGAAGAAGCATATATGAATTTGTGGATAATAATCCTTTATAAAGGGTCAAGGTATTGAACTTAGAAATGTATATTTGTATAATTCTAAGAGTACATATTGTTATTTTGCATTAAGAAATGTATTACCTAGATGGCCCCAAGGAAGTTCTGTTTACTGTTCAATAAGGGGATGGTGGTGGAATTCATCCCCAGGGATATTACAAAGATCACATGATTATAAAGGTGCTTGGCACCATGTTTAGTATAAAACAAATGCTATCTGAATGTAAACTGTTTTAAGTAAAAATGTAATTGCTTTATGTGAATTTCCTTTGATACAGAGTTTATGTCAATGGTGATGAGATGAATGATTTTCTCTGTAAGGCAATTTGAGTCTCTGAGTAAAGTCAAGTCATCAGAGGGGTAATTAATTGGTTTGGATTTTAAGGTTTAAATAGATGATAGTTGGTTTCTGGTATAGTTGTTTTTGTAAGACTCTCTTAGATTGTACAGCTTGAGAGACCATTATGAGGTAGAGATGGTACCTAGATGTGATGAAATTGGATAATTTGACAACTGTTACGTTTAATGAGGTATCTTTGGTTGTAAGCAGATAATTAACTGGTTCTGTTTCAAAGTTTTAAATGCCTGATAATTACTTATGGTACTTTATTATTTAGGTTCTTTGGTTGATAGAAAGCATGTGGGAGAGAGGATGGAATGGTTCTGTTTGCACAGAGTGGCTAGAGAAGGCTTTGAAATTTTTGAAAGATTAATACTCCCTTTTCATTCTAATTCTGGCCAAATTTGAGTTTGGTGGCAAAGAGAGAGCCTTTTCTGTCTTACATTCAAGAGAGAAGTCTAGTTACCAAATATATTTGTGAATGAAATAGTTGGATCTGGTGAAGGGGGTTAGAGAGGGCAATAACTGGGTATTTACTGAGTCTGTAGGTTAATTGTGTCTTCCCCTCCCTCTTACTCGTCCTTGGATGATTCCTTCACCAAAAACAAAAAAAAGGGGGGGGGAGTGGCGAATGCCTCTAATTCACTAATTCTTCCCTAACTGAGTTCCTGCAGGGGCCCCAGGAAACACAGAGGACTCTCCTGAAATCTGTCTGAGACACCCTACCAGTCCCTACCTCCGAGCCTGTACAGGCTTTCAGCCCAGGAGACCCAATCCTGGTCAAGAAGTACACTGCCTCTGGCCTGGAACCTAAGTGGAAAGGTCCCCATACCATGATCCTAACCATTCCAACAGCCATAAAGGTGAAGTCTATCCCTGTCTGGCTTCATCATTCACAAGTAAAGGCGGCTGCTTTGTCTACCGGCCCTGAGAAGTGGGAAACGATACCAGGTCCAGATCCCCTCAAGTTGCATCTCTCCTGATCATCCCCTTCCTAACCCATGCCTGCCAAATGGGCCCGCCAAGAAGGAAATCAGTCCACACCCTATTTCAGTCCATATACGGTCCTAAACCAAGGATTAACCAATGGCTGATTCTGGCTTCTGTAATTTCCTGCTTATGCAACACCTGACCGTTTACTTTGTGGTTTCTGCCTTTAGAAGCCCAAGCTCTACCCCTGATTGGGGCTGCTTGATCTGGGTGTGTACCCCTTGCAGCCAAGCCCTAATAAATCCACATTTCAAATTATGTCTGGGTCTCGCTTGCTGATTTCTCGGTACAACAATATTATCTTATATTGTATTGTATTATATTATACATTACATATATACATATGTACACACAAATACATACATACATACATACATTTATACACACACACCCATAGAGTGCCAAACCTGGAGTAAAGAAGATCTGAGTTCAAATCCAGCCACAGATACTTACTAGCTTTATGACTTTGGGCAAATCACTTAACCTCTTAGTTTGCCTCAGTTTCTTCATTTGTAAAATAGGGATAATAATAGCACCTACTTCTCAGGCTCATTATGAGAACCAAATGAAATATTAATTATAAAGCCCTTTGCACAGTGACTAGAACAAAGTAACTATTAGATAAGTGTTAGCTGTTGTTGTTGTTGTTGTTATAGAAACAAAGTGAAAAATTCCTTTCCCTTCTATATCTTGGTGATACCATGATCTTCCCAAAACAGTTTTTTATAAGGTTTATAAATTGCTTCCAGAAGGATCAATCAAATGATCAATATAAAATCAATAATTTGTCAATAATCGAATAAATCAATAAAAAGCCATATTCAGTTATAAAAATTTAAGGATCCTTTTGAGGGGTACAACCATGCTATCTTTGGGGCTACTTTCAATGAAGGAACATTGAGCTAGGTAAGGCACTGGAATGATCCATCCAAGTTGACCTCACACATAAATGAAGGATGATATTTCATCCTTTCCTAATGGGGGTAATGGAGGAGAGGACTTAAGAAAGCTAAGGGGACAGAAATTTTTAGTACACATGTCTGAGAAGAAAAACAAACGATAATAGTTTTGTTTAGGAAAGTTATTATATTAAGTTAAATTCCTACTAAGTTATAAATAATTGAAAACATTTCTGTGTAGTGAGTTTCAGAGAAAGGTACTGGGGGAAAGGGAAAAGGAAGAATGCTAAACAGGTGTGTGTGTGTGTGTGTGTGTGTGTGTGTGTGTGTGTGTGTGTGCGTGCGCACGCGTGTGTGCGCCTAATCAGAAAAGAGTTACAGAATTTCTAAAGACTAACTTCACTTACCACTTCTTTGTTGGGTGAAGGAGAGGCTGCCCCAGAAATACAGTATGATGCTTATCTTATGCTGCATTCTCTGTGATGTTTTTGGTTTTGTTTTTGGTTTTAATTTTTGGTAATGCCTTGGAAAATTTGGAACTATACATGAAGGTAGAATGTTGGATCCTCTAGGGCTGCAGCCAAGAAGAATAAATACATTTAGGGTCATGTTAGAATTTCCAGAGTTGGTTCATCTATCTAGGCTACTCCAGAGAGTGTCAGGACTCTTTCCAGATTCTGAAGCACTCTTCATTCCCTAAATGATATGCTAAGAGAAAGTGACTATCTACAAGGAAGGTTGGATCAGTTTGTTTTACTAATGCAAATTTATCACTAAGCACCACACCTGCACCCAACCAAAATACTTAGAACTCTCTTTACTAAAAGCACAACTGACTCTCCAGATTTCTCAGGCAGTGTTTTTATAGATAGATTTTCTGTAATTAAACATGAGCCTCTCCCTTTACCCCTAGAAGGCCATATAGCCACAAAAAGGCCAGTTCTGGGTCTGAACTCCTCCTTAAAAAGCTATGCCTAATTAACTTGTAATTGAGGGTAAGAACCCAAGAGGAGTTTATCAACTAGCTTTTATTCATTTGGAAAGTGCAGCCTGATGTTTAATCTCAGCAGGGTGCACTGCTTATTTTTAGCATTCTCACTTGTAAGCACATCACAAATTCTCAGCAAATTGGGTTCCAAGTCTGGGGAACGGGAAACCCTTTGGGTGTTGCAGTTTGTCATTTTAATTTCATTTTTTTTCAACAGCTACTATACAAATACAGATGTGCTACTTTGTCTTGACTTTAACTTCCATGGATTCTTTATTTTAAAAGATACATGAAGGAATAGCTTGGGTATTAAGGAGATTTTGTCTATGCTTTAAAAAAAAATCACTAGAAGGTCTGGAAGATTCACTTTGTCATTTAATTTAAATTTGAAAACATTTTTTATGGGAAAAGTTCAATAAGTCAAAATATCTCATTAACTGGGAAGCCTGATGGGACTGAGTTATAGCTCCCTAATATAGATATAAATATAGATTAATTAAACTGACAGTTTGGAAAGTGCATTTGGGTCATATTGCTACCACTATTTTCAACCATGAGCATTTGCTCACCAAAAGCCTTTTTGAATGCAAACAAGGAAAGCTAGCCAAGGAAAAGGTAAAGGTGCATAATGAACTAAAAGTCATACCTGGTACTTGTTCATGATTCTCGGTTCCTGATGTACACTTAGAAAAACTGGGCATAGCTAAAATCTGTAGTCCTTGAGACACAGGAGCCCACAAGATGCCAGTACTTTCCCCCATTGATAAGTGGTCAAAGGATATGAATAGTTTTGAGATAAAGTTGAAGATATCTATGGTCATATACAAATGTTCTAAATTACTATTGATTAGAGAAATGCAAATTAAAGCAACTCTGAGGTACCACCTCAC